CTAAGGCCATCCTAACACCCTTCTACCTTATTGTTTTGTATTCTACTGCTAATTACTAATTACCACTTAACACTAGGGTTAAAAAATCTGGCCCAGTAAAGGGGACCCTTGAACCTGGGAACAAGTCTCAGGGATTCAGTGGTACAAGGCTCCATTCAGGAAATTGAGGACATGCATTTTGTTCAGGAGGTTTATCCATAAACTGGGAACCTGCCTTTATGGCATGGAGACTTGGAGGTTCCCTGGCACAAGAGTCCACTGTCGATCAACGGGAGGAAATATATTTTATCTTGTATTTTCAGTAACAGTTGGAAATTCCAAACCTGACATGGGATAAAAGCGCCAACTTGTGCACAGATCCCTGTACAGTTGCTGCAATCCTAGGGAGACCCAGAACTCCCAAATTAACACAAAAATGGCAGTTCAGATCATCTGTGCTCAGCCACATGGCCACACGGAGGCGCTGCTGTACTGCCCTGCAAGGCTGCCAGAGCAGCTCTGAAGAGGATCAGACTGTGGAAGGACTAGGGCAGAGATGGCTGATCTAAAGGTTCCTCTTTATTCTGGTTTTGTTTGTTTCTTTGTTTTCCTCTCCAGCTTCTACATAGGAAAGAAAATTTTGCTCCTTGACTTTCTGAGTCTGGTGTGTTTCACTTGGCATGATATTCTCCAGTTCTATCAGCTTATTAACAAATGACATTATTTCATTCTTCTTTATGGCAGGGTAAAACGCCACTGTGTACATATAGCACATATATATCTGTTGACATATACGTAGATCTGTTGTATAATATGGATATTGGGGAATTGTGCTGCTGTAAACAGTGGTAGGTGTGCATATCTCAGTAGAGTATGCTAATTTTAGTTCTTTTGAACAAATATCAAGCAGTGGGATAACTGGTCATATGGCGGTGCCATTCCTAGCTTTTTGAGGCATCTTCATACCAATTTCCAAAGTGGTTGTATTAATTTGCAGGCCAACCAACAATGTTTTAAGTGTACACTTAACCCCGTATCCTCCACAGCATTTATTATTTGTAATCTTGATGATTGGTCTTCTAATAGTTGTGAGAGATAAACTCTCAATGGAGTTTTGATTTGTATTTCTCTGATATAGATAGATAGATATAGATATAAACATATATGTGTATATGAAATGCCATTTGAATTTCTTCTTGAGAAATGTCTGTTTAGTTCTTTTGTTCATTTATTGGCAGGGTTACTTGCTTTTCTTCTGGCAAGTGTTTAAAGTTTTTATACATTCTGGATATTCATCCCTTGTCAGAGAGTATCTGTCAAAGGTTTTCTCCAATTCTACAGGCTCTCTCTCCATTCTCTTATTTGTTTCCTTTTTCTGCAGAAATCTTTTTATTTGATATCTACTTATTGATCCCTGGTTTTATTTCTTGAGCTGTAGGAGTTTTATTAAGGAAGTTGATGCCTGAGCCAACATGTTGGAGTGTTGGCCTGTTTTCTTCTAGCAGTTGCAATGCTTCTGGTCTAATTCCTAGGTCTTTGATCTGCTTCCAGTTGATTTTTATGCAGGGTGAGCGATAAGGATCCAGTTTCATTCCTCTGCATATGGATATCCAGTTTGCCAGGTACCATTTGTTTAAAAGCTATGTTTTCTCCAATTTGTTTTTGCCACCTTTGTCAAGGATCGGAAGACTGGATCTCTGTAGGTCAGTCTATATTCCTTCTATTCTAGTCCACTGGACTTCCTGTATGTTTTTATGTTAATACCAAGCTGGTTTTGTTATGACAAGTCTGCACCATAATTTGAGATTGAGTATTTTTAACACCTCCAGCATTGCTCTGATTAATAGCTAATAATTGCTTTGGCTATTCTGGGTCTTTTCTTCTTCCATATGAAATTTAGGACTGTTTTTTTCTTTGAGAAAATCATTAGTATTTTGATGGGGATTGCAGAGAATCTGTACATCACTTTTGGTAATATGGCTATTTTAACAATATTAATTCTGCCAATCCAGGAACATGGGAGATCTTTCCATTGTCTAATGTCTTTAATTTCTTTCTTCAATGTTTTTATAATTTTCACTGTACACATCTCTCATTGTTTAGATGTATTCACAGTTTTTTATTTGTTTGAGGATATTGTGAATGGAATTTTCCTGATTTCTTTCTCAGTAGGATCATTATTGGTGTCTAGGATAGTTTGACTTTTGCTAGTTGATCTTGAATCTAGCTACTTTGCTGAATTTATCAGCTCTAAAAGTGTGTTGTTTTTTTTTTTCCCTTGGGGTCTTCTAAGTATAGAATAATGTCATCAGCAAACAGGGATATTGAATCCTTTTCTATTTTTATCTCTTTAATTTTCATCTTTTGTCAGATTGCTCTGGCTAGAGTTTCAAGTACTGTATTGAATAGGAGTGGTGAGAGTGAACATCTGTGTCTTATTTCAGTTTTTAAAGAAAATACTTTCAATTGTTTTCCACTTAGTATGGCATCAGCTTTGGGTTTGACATATATAAAATTTCAATGTTGACACAAGTTCCTTCTATTCCTAGTTTTTTCAGTGTTTTTAACGTGAATAGGTACTGAATTTTGTTAAAGGGGTTTTTTTATATTTACTGAGATGTTTATGTAATGTTTTTCTCTAATTCTATTTATGTGATACATTGCATTTACTGATTTTCATATATTGAGCCAACCTTGCAATGTTGGATGGAACTGATCTTCTTAATGGGTTTTTGAATGCAAATTGCTAATATTTTATTAAGGATTTTTACATCTATGTTCATCAGGCATACTGATCTATAGTTTTGTTTCCTTGATGTGTCCTTATCTGCTTTGGTATCGGGGTGATATTCGCTTCAAAGAATCAAAACACATTTCATGTCATTAGGTAATGTATGACTATAGTGTATATTTGATACAGAAAAATCACAAAATCTTAACCATAGTATGTTACAAGCTAAAAATAATCCATACGCCTAGACCAGAAAAACACAGGCTTCAGTGGCCCCCTGTACTGCTCTCTCCAAATACCATTTTCCAGGTTAGTTGGCTCTCTGCCCCCAAAAAGTGCATTTCTCACTTTCTCCTGCCTTCTTGCATCCCACTCTACCTCCCCATTTCTCACTCCTAGAGGATGAAATTCTTTCTCTTTTCACATGGAAAAAAAGTAGGACTCAGGTAAGGACTGCCTCATAGTCCCTTCAGAGCCTGCACATTTGAAACTGTCCCACATGAGTAAACAAGAGGAGGACCCTAGCCAGATGCCAGTGCCTTGACCTTTGACTTCCCAACCTTACTAACAGTGAGAGAATAAGTTTCTGTTCTTCATAATTTCCTCAATATGTGGTGTTGCAGCCCAACAGACTAAATCTCCATGAATATATTCAGGCATAACTAGGATTCCACCAATGTGGTCTTTGTTAAGACACCAATCCTAGAACTCTCAGTCCTGCCAGACCTGGACTGGATGCCTTCACAACTGGATCAGGCTGACTCCCTGGATCTCCTTCACCTCAGCGGGGAACACACTTGGCCTCCATTCTTGTGCTGGCTCCTTTTAACTGCATTTCACATATCCCCTTTCCTTGGTTTTCCTCCATCATTTTTGTTTCTCACTTCATTTAGCCATATCCTATAGAAATATGGAAAAGAAAATGTCTAAACTCTAAACATCTGAAATATCTTTAGGACACCCTAGCTCTTAGTCCAACTATAACTTTTTTACTAGGTATATGACTTCTTTTCTGGTACTATTTTAATTGCCCAAATCACCTATAGACTTATTCATTTCTGTGACTAGTTTTAAATTTCTAAGAAATTATTTTTGTTTTCTGCATAATTTCACTACTTGTTCACAAACACCATATCTTTCTACATGTTTTAGCAATTATCTAGAGTAGTGGCAGTGAATCAAGGGAAGAGGATGGAACCAGTTGGGATCTCTCCACAGTTTACTGAGAGCAGCAATTCTCAAAGTGTCGTTTTCGGAACCCCCAGAGGTGTTTAGACTATTGCACAGGATCTATATTATCAAAAAATATTTTTATAATATCACTAAAACATTATTTAAAATAAATAAAACTCAGCAAAGTGGAAGTAATGGTACCAAACTGCAATAATAGTTATTGTGTTCTTGAGCACCTTTTAACTGTAGAAGGGAAGGCATTCCAGTTCACTTAAATATGTCCTGAAGTATTAAAAATCATTAAATTGCCATTCCATTGTGCACATTATAAATACACTTATTTGATAAAAAGGGGAAGTACACATAAAACACACCTACTACATTCAACAATAGGGAGTTTGTGTCAACAAAAGCCATTTAGTGAGGTTTACTAGTGTCATCTTTATGGAATACCATTCCTGATTAAAAGAATGAATGACAGGGGAGGTATTAATTACACTTCAATATTTGGCCAATGTTCTAAAAAATGACTTTAACCTGTCCCTTTGAGATAATCCACTGACAGCAATATATTCAATGATAAAATGTATGCTCTCAAGAGGAAAAAAAAATCTGGGCAAACCTGCATCCACCACTATCAACCTGACAGACTCCCAAGTACTTACAACACTTTCTGGTGAAATCTGTGGTGATATCAAAATAATCAACATAAGACCACTTGATTAATTTTACTTAAATGTGTTAACACTAGAAGGTCTATATAGCTTGGTCAAACAATGCATGACTTTAAAAAATATCATGCACAAGATCAATTCAATGTACAAGACACATCCACAGACTTTAATGGATAAAATATGGACTATTCAATGACAGTATTTTATGGTTCTTGTGGAAAAGAACTTTTAAGAAGCTAACACTTGTATCATTTTATTGTAGTATCAAAGATGAATACTGGAAACGTTATTAAAAACATTCCTCTTATAAATATTTGTGTGAGGCTACATTTTTTTGTTTCAACCAAAGTCACAAGTTAAATGCAGAAAATATGAATATCTAGCATTCTCTTTTGACAAATAAAATTGTAAAAAGTAAAATGATCCATTTTTCCTAATAAATATTTTAATTTGGGAAAAGTTATTTTTCTTTGAAACTACTGTTTCAAAGAGTGCCACACATTTTTCATGCAATTATTTAACGTGCAATTAGTTATTAATATTCAGGAAGAATAAAATATCTGAAAAATGGCATTAACTTCTAATATGGCAAATATTGATAGACATAACCCACATAAATCTACCTACCTCTGGAGTGCACACTACTTTCTAAGAGCATATAAAGATCCTGAAACCAAAACGTTTGAGAACTGCTGATTTTACACCCTGAGTCAGAAATCAAGGGATGGTGAGACAAAGAATGATTAGTAAGGAGGAGTGTTCAGGGCAAACTCCCAGCCCTGGGCGTGGCTCTCAGGCTCTAGAGCTGTGTCTGGGGTGTGGACAGGGAGCGCTGAGAATCCCTGTCTCCAGGGAGTTTCACTTTTCTCCTCCCAACCTGGGCCAGGTCATTCTGCCTGGGCACTCCTGACTGGTCCACAGTTCTCACTCCCATGTCGTCTTCTCCTAAAGAAGCCAATCTTTGTCACTGCGGTTTGAATTTTAAAGTCCACAGCGACCTCCCCCCGCCCCCACTCCAAGTCGCAGAATCTCCACATTGCTGCAGGATGAGGGTGCTGGCGCCCCTAATGCTGCTCCTCCTGCTCTTGGGGGCCTTGGCCCTGAGGGACACTTGGGCGGGTGAGCACAGGATTGAGAGGGAAATAGCCTCCAGGTGGGAGGAGCGAGGGGACCATCCAGTGAGCACTGAGGACCTGGGGAAGGTGCGTCCCCGCCGCCCCCAGCCCAGACCCTCCCCATCATGGCGCGGTCCTTCCCTTCCCTCCCCTCCCTCCCCTATGTCCTGCCCTTCTGCTCCCACAGCCCCCTTAGCGACTCTGGACCCCGCTCCTCTCTTCCTGGGTAGTCAACCTGGCACTTGGTTGGGTGGTCTCAGTGGCTCCCTTCCCCAGGCTCCCACTCCCTGAGGTATTTCGACACCTCCGTGTCCCGCCCCGGCGGGGAGCCCCGCTTCATCTCCGTGGGCTACGTGGACGACACGCAGTTCGTGCGCTTCCACAGCTACACCGAGAATCCCAGGATGGAGCCCCGGGCGCCCTGGATGGAGAAGGTGGGACCCAAGTATTGGGAACGGGAGACACAGACCGCCAAGGACAATGCACAGAGTGACCTAGTGAGCCTCAACAACCTGCCAGGCTACTACAACCAGAGCGCAGGCGGTGAGTGACCGGGTCCATGTCGGACATCGGGACCCCTCAAGTCCCTCACAGATGGTCCCGAGAAGTCAGGGATTCCCGGGCTAAGCTTCACCCCAAGTCTGAGGGACCCGCGGAGACTCTCGACCCAGAATGCGCCCTTGGGGACTGTGACCGGTTTCATTTTCAGTTTAGGACAGAAACCCTCGGGGTGGGCAGGTCAAGACCCTGGCTGACAGCGGGGCGGGGACAGGCTCTCACACCTACCAGAGGATATATGGCTGCGACATGGGGACAGATGGGCGCCTCCTCCGCGGGTACAGTCAGTATGCCTATGATGGCGCGGATTACATAGCCCTGAATGAGGACCTGCACTCCTGGACCGCGGCAGACAAGGCGGCTCAGATCACCCAGCGGAAGTGGGAAGTGGCTGGTGTTGCAGAGAGCTTAAGGGCCTACCTGGAAGGAGATTGCTTGAAGTGTCTTGCAGGCTACCTGGAGAAAGGGAAGGAGTCGCTGCAGCGCGCAGGTATGAGCAGCTTCTGAACACATGCCTCATCTCCTGTAGATCTCTCTAGCAGTTCCCAGGAGGAGGGGAGGAGAACGGTGCCCACTGTAGAGCATCGCCCTGCTCATAGTCCAGAGGGGAGGGTGTGAGCCTGGATTCCCCAGTTCTGTACTAGAGAGGAACTGAAGGCTGCTTTCTCTGAGGACAAAGAAGGGATCTGGTCTGTCTCTCCCTGGCTGGTGGGAAAGACAATAAATACCTGACCACAGGTGCCTGTCAGCAGTCTTGGCATCCAGGACAATCAGTTCTGCTTCAGCCTAGTGCCTTGGAGGTCTGACTCCAGCTTTTCCAAGTGTCCCAACCTCTATCAAGATCAGATTCTGAAGTCCCTCTCAAGGACCTGAAACCTCTTCCACTGGGTTGTTTCAATCTGATTTTAGAACTTTCCAAGGAATAGATTGTGCCAGAAGTCTGCATCCTGGCTTGTGTCTAGGTTTTGTGCTCTCTCCCCCACCTGAATTATGTTGTTCATTACTCAGGATGGTCTTATGATGGCCATGTGAGCACCGCTTCAGTGGCCCAAGAGGAAATGCCAAAATGTCTGAATTTCCCAGTTCTTTTTTTCAGACCCCCCCGAAGACTCATGTGACTCACCACCCTATCCCTGAAGGGGATGTCACTCTGAGATGCTGGGCCCTGGGCTTCTACCCTAAGGAGATCTCCCTGAACTGGCAGCGGGATGGAGAGGACCAGACCCAGGACATGGAACTTGTGGAGACCAGGCCTGCAGGGGATGGAAACTTCCAGAAATGGGCAGATGTGGTGGTGCCTGCTGGAGAGGAGCAGAGATACACCTGCCGTGTGCATCATAAGGGGCTGCCTGAGCCACTCACCCTGAGATGGGGTAAGGAGGGAATGAGGGCACAGAGCCTATTGTCAGGAAAACAGGAGGCTTTCTGGAGACCCTCAGCAGGGTAGGGACTGAGAGCAGGGGATCAGGTCCCCTCATCTAACTTCCCTTCCTCTCCCAGAGCCACCCCCTCAGCCCACCATCCCCATCTTGGGAATTGTTGCTGGTGTAATTCTCCTTGGAGCTGTTGTCACTGGAGCTGTGGTCGCTTTTGTCTTTTGGAAGAAGAAAAACAGGTAGGAAAAGTGCAGGGTCTGAATTTTTGTCCCACTGGTGATTTGAAGAACCTAGTAGAAGTATGTTTTAGCCAACGTTTCACATGGGCTACAAAAACCCAGGTCTCTAGGGTGAATTGGGCTGGCACAACAAAACACACAAACATTTAGACCTTTTGGGGGGCATTTCAGTTCGGTTCTTCTGCCTCAACTGCAAGCTCCCACAAGAGGGACAAGAGAAAGGAAGGGAGGCAGGCAACAGAGAAAGAGCATGCCCCAAACCTTGGTTTTTATTGGGGGAGAGTGTTTGAAAGAACATTTCATCCAAATAAGGCAGAAAGGGTAGTGTTAAAGGAGAACAGGGGGGCAGGCCACTCCCATTAGGTAATGTCCACTCCCAGAGCTTCAGTCCCCTGCCTAGCAAAGGTGAAGTCCACTTGCTTTTGTGCACAACAGAAGCCAGTTCCACACCTCCATCGCTCAAGGCTAAGGTGTTGTGCTCAGCTCCTACAGGCAGTTCCTGATAATATGCCCTGCCTTGTTAATGGGAAGTAACATCTACAAGTGTCCTTACCCAACCTGGACCCTGTTTACTTTTTGTAAGGTGCACAGAAACTAAAGGACAAATATATCCTCTTGATATTTGTGGTGATGGGGGCCTGATTCCCAGCATTTAGAGGCCAGAGAGGGAATTTTCCTGGTGAAGACAGAACTCCAGGAAAGTAATTATCTTCATCCTTACCTATCTATTTTCTTCTTGTCTCCTGATCCTTTCCTACATCTACAGTCACAGTTCTGGAGACTTACCCAGTGTCCAGGACTAGGGGACACTCTCAGACCTGTTTCCAAGCTGCTCTCTCACAGGCGGCTTTCTTCCCACAGGTGTACAACCAGACACCTATGCTCCAGCTGCCTGTAAGTATGAAGAACAGTGATCTTCGAGACACCTGGGTGACTGTAGTCGGAAGCCATGGGGGAGCTGATCCACCCATAATTCATCCATTAGCCACACCTCCTGTGGACTCTGACCAGGTTCTGTTTTTGCTCTGCTCAGGTAATGACAGTTCCCAGGGCTCTGATGTGTCTCTCACTGGTTAAAAAGGTGAGACCTTGGAGGGCCTTGAGGGAGAAGAGTTGAGGTATGGGGAGACTCTGAGTTACAGGGACTGTCCCAGGAATTTCTGATATTTTAAGTATTTAATGGGTTGTTCAGAGTGTCTTCATTACAATGACTTATCTGAATTTGTTCATAATACTTTCTTTTACAGTATTTTCTTTCAACTGAGTAATACAGGATTTCTTCAGTTCTCTTCCTGCTCCCTGCTGCAGTTTCAAGAGGTCCCAACTTCTCTTTGTGCAGCTGGCAATAAACTGTGTCTATGTGTCTGTGTTCCTGTCATCAGATCATGAGGAAATGGAGACAGGCTCTCATCTTTGATCACCAAGACCCCTCCCTACACTGTCCTGTTGTCTTCCTCAATTAACTTTCCTATGTAGCAAATACAGGGCTGGGATGTCTTCATTCCTGGTAGCTTTATGTTGCCCTGGGCTGTAGCTTTTTCCTTGCCTTTTGGAAAAGAGAATGTGTATATTGATTTGTATTTTACATTTGTGCCATGAATTATGGTTGTGGGTTAATTACATGAAAAGAGGATTCCTCAAATTTCTGAGAGAAAATAAAACCCCAAACCTTCCAGAATCCACATGTTTGCTGTGCTGACTCTACCTCAGGTGGGGACAGGAGAAAGATGAAAGGAGCTGAAGGTGGACAAAGCAGCACCCAGTCTTTGCTAGCCCATCCTGGGTTTGATGTGGTCACTCCTCAGCTGGATCATCTTCCCTGGTCCTTAGACCCATTCATTCAACTGAACCTCATCCCACCAGGACCTGTGATGACAGGGGCTCAGGCATCACCAGGGCAGGTCCTATTTCCAGGACCATGGGCAGGGAGGGCATCACATTGAGTGGGTTAACGTAGGCTGAGACCTGAGTCTGACCTTGTGCTCCCATCTTTTTTTGTTTCTCAGTTTCTACGGAGAATTATCCCTATTCTTATTATTAAGTATGAGTTCTGGTCTCATTCTTCTTTGGGTGTCTCTCTTTGAGAGCAGCAGAAATCCTTTCTCCTGTCATTTTCCCACAAAACCCAGGGCAGTTTTCTGGATTATATTTTCCATCATTTCTGCAGTATTTTTAAAGGGACCAGATATGAGAGTCCCAGAGAAGAAGGATCTTATGATTTCTCATCCTAGATAAATTCCTCTTAGGTTTTCATTTTCTCCATCCAGCAGTTTCACTGTCCTTAACAAGATCAATTCTAGAACTTGCTCCAAAAACATGCAAAAAGCAGTATATATCTGTCCATGGTGGTTTTATCATGTCATGGGAAATCAAGGCTGGTCTTTTGTTTTAGAATAAAACAAAAATCCATATCACCACATTAACAGAATGATGGTGAAAAGTCATAGGTTCATTCCAAAGGATGCAGTAAAAGCATTTGTTAAAATTCAATATAATGTCATGGTAAAATCTCTAGGGCTCTAGGTATTGAAAAGAACATTCTCAATAAGATTAGGGAAAGTAATAAAATTCTATCACTCTCATATGTATCAGTGATAAAAAGGATCAACACTTTCTTTTGGGGATCAGCAACAAAGTTAAAGTGTTGGATCTCAGCTTTTTTATGTAACTTAATTCTGGATCACAGCCAGCACAACATCACAAAGGCACAAAGGTGCCCCTGGTATGTTTGCAATTGCGTAATTTCTTCACTGCTTCTTGCTCAGAGAACTAGAGGGCTCTATAAGTCTCTTTGTATTTTGCACTGTCTCTGTTTCTTACATTGAAGTTCTGTTTCTCCTAATAAAGTTTCTCCTAAAAAGCCTCTTTGAAGTTCTTCAAGGTATACCCATTACCCAGTTCCAATTCTACTCCATCCTTTAAAGTTTTTGTTTTTGTTTCTTTTTTTTTTTTTTTTAATGATGGCACCACATTTCCTTGAAAATGTCTGTTGTAGATACTTATTGCTTGGAAAAATCTAAATGAAATAAGACAGGTACAGAAAGAAAACCCCACAACTCAGCACATAGGGGTTCTTTCACCCCCTCCCTCCAACACTTTTAGAATGAGCATTGGCCTAGCAAAATCTACCATGGTCACATGTGCACCATCCTTAGAGACCAAGAGCTTTGGGTGAGCAGTGACCAGGTCCAGGATCACTTCTCCTACTGTAGAGAAACCAAGGACATGAGCTCTGTAGAAGCTCTGGCTGGACTTGGAACTAATTACTTCAGTAATCTGTTACCCACTTTTCTCCTCCATGTGATAGGAAAATTCCTATGATTATTAACAAACACTATATAAACAAATTCTCACAGCATCCCGCAGTATTCAAAGAACACATTTAAATGCTGAAGGCCACTGTGAGCCACAAGAAGGCAAAGTCAGGAGAGAAAGCTGAGCCTAGGAAAATGAGGGGGTTTGTGTGGGGTCATGGCTACCTCAGATAGAAGAACAGCTCCATCGTGACCAGTGGAGGGTGCCTTGACTTTTCCTGTTTCATTCATTTTCCACTTGAGGAAAGAGGGTTGTTTCTGTATTTTTATCCTTTAATTTTTTTCGTTCAGTTTCTGTGCCTGCAGCTGTAGAAGTCATTACTGCCTGACATGAATACCTCCCCCAACAGCTCACAAAAGCCCTTGCATCTTAGATCTCTCTCCCAGTCATGACCATGTCCTGTGAAATACATACAACAGTTTAAAAAAGTCATATGTCTAAATAATTATTGACTTTACAAGACTATCTCATTTTTATGTTTATGCTATTTTAACCACAGTCACTTATTTAACCACAGTGAACATTCAGTACAACAGTCAGCGTCATCCTCATTGTATAGAACGTAAAGCAGAGACACAATGGGCTCAGAAACTTTCCCAAGGTCTCACAACCCACAAATGGTGGAGCCAAGATTCAAACCAAGAGTCAAACCCTAGAATTCCCATAGTGAGCCAGGAGCCTGAGCTGTCATCAATAATTATCTTCACCTCTGTGGTATAATTTACCAGTAAAGTCATTTGGAGAAGGAGTTTTCTTTGTAGGTATATTTATAAAATATATTATTACTAATTCAGTGTCTTCACTTGTTCTAGTTATATTCAAAATATCTATTTATTCTTGAGTCACCATTACTAGTTTCTTGTCTATCTACCATTTGTCCATTTTATGTATGCTATCTAATTTTTTGGCACCCCATTGTTCACAGCAGAATTCAGATTGTTTTTCTTATTGCAAAGTAAGTAATATTGCATCCTCTCTCTTTTCTGATCCTAATCATCTTACTATTGTTTTATTTAGTGTATCCAGCTGACAATTTGTCAATTTTTGTTCATCTTTCCAAAGTATTCTATTTGGTTCCATTGATAGCTTCTCTGTTCTTTATTATTTTCTACTATTTCTTGCTATTATATTCTGCTACTTCTTCCCTGTTTCCTTCTCTATATCTGTTTAAGGTTTAGTTTGCTCTTCTGTTCCTATGCCTTAAGGTGAAGGTTTGGTTATTCATTTGAATCCTTTTTATTTTATTTTATTTTTTTGAATCCTTTTTAATGCAGGCATTTACAGCTACAAATTTACTCTAAGTGCTCCTTTATTAGTGTCTCATAAATATGATGTATTTTTTCTTAATTTTCATTAATTTGAGAGTGTTTCCTAGCTTTATTTTAATTTTCTTAAGCCCTTTACTATTCTGGAGTGTTTTTAAATTTCCATACATTTGTGATTTTCCCTACTTGTATTATTTGATTGATTACTAACTTTATTTCATTGTGGTCAGAAAATATTTTTTATTATTTCTTTTTTCCATAAATGTATTGAGGTAAAATTGAAGTACAATAAAATGTACATATTTGAAGTATGCAATTCGATCAGTTTTGACATCTATGCAACCTATAGAATCAACATAAAAAGCATTTGCAATGCTTTTTTTAAAAATATGAATTTGGGCTGGGGATGTGGTCAAGCGGTAACACGCTCACCTGGAATTTGCAGGGTGCTGGGTTCGATCCTCAGCACCACATAAAAAATAAAATAAAGATGTTGTGTCCACCAAAAACTAAAAATAACTAATAACAAATAAAAAATTCTCTCTCTCTCTCTCTCTCTCTCCCCCCCCCCTCCCTCTCTCTCTATCTCTTTAAAAAAATATGAAATCATTCAGACTGTGTTTCCTGCACAATATATTACATTAAAAACAAATCACCTTAAGGTCTGTAGAACTCCACCCCTACAGGTCAACTCACTTCAAAATCATACATCACACTTATGAATATCTCAGAGGTCAAAGAAGAAAGCAGAGAAAAATAAATAATAAGTGCTTTGAACTAATTAATAATAAAAGTTTAATGTATCAGGATTTCTGGGATGAAACGGCACTCAGATAAGCATTTATAACTTATAGCATTTGTATCAGAAAGAAGCTAGATTAATAATCAGATTATTTTCAAAGTATATAGTAGGGAGAAAAATATAAGAGTAGGACCAGAAATATATGAACTAGAGAAGAAATAACACAGCTTAAAGTTGATAAAAATCAAAGAAGTCTAATCAAGAAAAAAGCAAGAATGCAAAAATTAATATCAATGGAAATAGAGCTATCAAAATAGCCCTACAGATGCTAAAAATATGTTCAATTAATATTATAATTGCACACAAACATATGTGATAGCTTATATAACACGGTCTGTATTAGAGAACGATCCATGTGCTGCTGAGAAGAAGGTGTATTCGCTTAATGATGGATGAAATATTCTATATATGCCTCTTAAGTCTAAATTATCAATTTTATTTTTACTTCTGTATCTTCTTTATTTAGCATTTGTTTGGAGGAGCTATCCAGTGATGACACAGGTATGTTAAAGTTCCCCAGTATTATTGTGTTGTGTCTATTTAATTATTGAAATAGAGAAGGGTTCCTTTGATGTACATAAATGCTCCATATGTTTGTTTGGGGCAAAAATATTTACAATTGTTATGTCTTGTTGATATATAATTCCCTTGAGCAGTGTGAAATGGCCTTCTTTGTCCCTTCTGATTAACTTTGGCTTGAAGCCCACTTTATCTGATATGAGGGTAGAAGTCCCTGTTGTTTATACATCCTTGTGAGTTATATGTTTATACCCATCCTTTCACCTTTCAGTCTATGGATGTCTTTGTCTATGAGGTGAGTCTCTTAGCATATTGCTGGGTCTTGTTTTTTAATCCAATCTGCCAGTCTATGTCTTTTGATTGATGAGTTTAGGTCATTAACATTCAAGGTTATTATTGAGATACGATTTGTGTTCCTGGTCATTTGCGTGTGTTTCTAGTTTTTAACTTGACTTAGTTTCTCCTTTGATTGACCTTTCCTTTAGTGTAGTTCCTCCCTTTGCTGGTTTTCATTGTTTTTTTTTTTTTTCATTTACTCCCTATGGAATATTTTGCTGAGTATGTTCTGTAGTTCAGGCTTTCTAGTTGGGAATTCTTTTAACTTTTGTTAATCATAGAAGGTTTTTATTTCATCTTCAAATCTGTTGCTTAATTTTGCTGGACATAGGATTCTTGGTGGGCATCCATTTTCTTACAGAGCTTGAACCATGTTGTTCCAGGACCTCCTAGCTTTAAGGGTTTAGTTGAGAAATAAGCTGAAATCCAGATTGGTTTCCCCTAT